ACACCTCTTAACCATCCATGAGATCGTCTGCTCCAAAAGGTCTGGAACCATGACTGGAAGTTTGAGGATGAAGGTAAAAATCCAATCTAAAAGAGAAAGAACTCGCCCTAATAATAGGCCTCTACTTTATTCTTCTCGTATTCATGTGCACTTTCTGACTAACATACAATCATTAGATTTACCATAAACCTGTTTATCTATGTTGGTTGAATATTAATGCACAAATAAAACTATTATTGGTAATCACTTGAATTATAATCAAATTAACCCTAAACAAGATTATTAATTATCTTAATAAACGTGATTACAAGTACAAATTCCCTTTAAACATGCATAAAAGGTGTGATCAAGCAATAACAATAATAAAAATCAAGCAACATAAGCATAATCATAACAATAACAATCATAATTGAAATAATCATGTTAAATCATAATATTAATAGTAAGATCCTAGGCATGATATTAACAAGATTAATAACAAACCCTAGCATGTCACTAAACAATAAAAATCAAAGCTTTAGCCTTAACATGATACTAACATGATATTAGAAAAGAAAATAGGAACCATCCTTTTAAACATACTGGATATTAGAAACTTAACTAACCCTAAACATGATACTATGAAGCAATAAAACATCCTACCATGACACTAGGAATCAAAATAATATTCTAAACATGATTTTTATATCAAAAAATCAATTAAACAATTAAATTACTTACTTCAATGCCTCGTATCTCTTTCTAATAACAAAATACACGCGTTAGTAACTTCAAGGAAAATAATAAAATTAAAGAATTAAATTAAAGAATTGAAAGAGAGATTTGGGATCAAACCCTCAAAAATTATCAAACCTTTCACGTCTAGGGGGAAGGCAACTTCGAACTTAGATAGGTGTTTCTAGTGCTAATGAGTGCGGTATTGTGTTTGTAAAAGGTTAGGCTAGAAAGAAAGAGAGAGAATAAGCTTTAGCTTAGAGAGAGAGAAGAATTAGAGAATTCTGGTTCTTGGAAACGGAGGTCCACTGACCCTATTTATAAGAAAATAGTCTGGAATTGATAGAAAAGAGTTAGAGTTCAAAAAGGAATAAAACTCATCCTATCACCAATGACAGAGCTTGTCTCTAGGGGATGCGGTGCATCGCCAAGCGTTGCACTGCAGCGCCAGGCGACGAACTTGTCGTCAGGCGGTGCTAAGATAGTTTTTTGCGGATTTTTCTTTTTATCATATCATTTGATCCAGAAGTCCAAATAAGTCATATAATATGTCGTTGGAAAGCTCTTGAAGTCTACTTTCCAACACAATTATAATCAGATTAAAATCGTTTTTGGATAAAAAAAAAAAAGATATGGCTATGGCTAAAATAGTGAAAGGGTGTTAGTTTTGGATTGAGTTTCGTATTCCATCCATATCTTTTTCGTTATAGGTCGGAATTAATATTATAATATATCATTGGAAAGATAATTTTAAGATTTACCTAACCATATAAGATTTGGATAAAGATTATGAGGCATGAAAATAATATCTTAATATATTCCATTTCGTACAAAACAAGGATTCTCAAAAGGAGTAGTTTTATTCAATTTAAAACTCTTTGAAACATAATTATCAATCCTAACTCATTAGGATTTAAGAGAACCTTCTAGAGTATTCTAGAAAAATATAATCAATCTTAATTGCTTTAGGAATGATAATTAATAATAGGTCCTCCTCTAGATCATTGGGCCGTATGTAAGAACCAAACCGGGCCAAGTTTAGTATTTTGGCCATAACTTCCTCATAATTCATCGGAATTGGGCTTATAATATATCGTTGGAAAGCTCTTTTTGAGCCCCATCCAACTAAACTATTATTGGACCCATATCATGTACCAAACTAAACTAGAATTCACGTTTTTCACAAATAGGGTAAGAAAAGAAATATTTTCAAAAATAGAAAGAAGAGATATTTTAATAAAAACATCCTCATCACTAGAGTTTTCACACTTTCTCTTTGATCGATAATAAAATGACGTGAAAGGTATTCATAACTGGGTTTGGTTTTGGGGAGACACATTTGGGTGTCTACAACTATACACTAAAAAGCTCACTTGTTCGGAAGGTCAAGTGGGAGATTGAAAGGAATGGTGTCCTTCGAACAAGTGTATTATTCTGATAAAGGGATCAAAATTATTAGAAATCTAATTATTTAGTGAGCTTAAGTGATTGGAATGCCTAGGTAGAGGCCGCTTCAGTTCAGTAATATTAATGTATAATTAATATTACAGCTTAATCTTGACTGAACCCTTTGTGTCACACCCAAGAAACAAACGAACCGACACGATGAATTAATTCGGAAGGAATTAATGAGTTGCTCGAGTAATTAATATATAGACGTCGGAAATTCAAGCTTTGAGCGTCGATAACGAGCGTTGGAATTCGAGTCGAAATAATAAAAGATGAGATGGTAAAATCGCTAATTAATCAACAAGTTACCGAAATACCCCTAGTATCGGAATACCCTAGGAAAACCGAAGCCTAGGGGCATTTGTTATAACCTAGGTGGCTAGGAAACGCACCAAGCCGAGCCTAGGGTGGCTGGTGCGTGCTAGCGCACCATGGCTAGCATGGTGCTAGCCACGGCAGCCAGGCCAAGGCAACAGCCACAAGCCAAGGCCAGCAATTGGATGAGACGCAAGCCGTAAGCCGAAAGCCATGGCCAGCAGCTAGCTGGGCCGAGGCTGCAGCCTCAATCCAAGGCCAGCAGCAGCTGCGTTGTGGCAGTATCCCACCCGGCTGCCTTGGTGCCCAGTTGGGGGTGCCACATTGCAGCCACCCTTTGGTGGTTTATGTGTGTTGGTGGCCGGCTCTTAGGGAGGTGCTTGGCGATCAAGTTTGGTCCCCTCCCCTACGTGTGGTCCTCACCTAATTCTTCTCCTAAATGTGCCAATTGTTGATGAATTAGTTTTTCTGATATTTAATTTTATTTTTGATTTAAAAATAAAGAAAGAATATTGAATTTACTAACTCTTCCACATTGGTGGGAGAGTGGATTTCACTCTTGGTTTTCCCTATAAATACCCAAGTTGGGGTTGGGAAAAATCACTTGAATAAGGTATTAGAAAAGACATCTCCATTGAGTAAACCTTTAAACACATATAAGTACTCGAGTGGTTTGGTCGGGCTTAGCTAACCTCTAAGCAATAAACCTTGTCGGGGAGTGTTGCGGGTGGATACCGTAGGAGATTTTCGCTCAATGCGAAACTCAAGCTTTCCCAAGTAAGAGCTCGGGGTACGAGTGAAGTACGCTACAAGGGTAATTACGTCTTTACGTAATATCTCTTGTTAATTATGATAATTTGGTCTTTTGATTATATTAATTGTGAGTTTGATCTTGGCTCGGATTTTTTTCCGCGATGATTCGGGCTCATCAAAGCCCAGCACTCATACCCTTGTGTCTCACAATCTTTATGCCCTACAATACCGCTTTCACCTCTGCAATCTTAGTCTCTCATTTTTCACTCTACTACACTATAGCTCCTCAAAGCACCACCCCCTCACTATTCCTGTAGACTGCACCCAGGCCCGTCCCCATCTCCCCCAAAACACCAGCATCAACGGTAGTTTTAACCACATCAGATGTCGGAGGAGACCCGCCCACAAAGACACTCTTTCCACCCATCAATTCCCCTTGTTATTCAACTTTCCCACCTCACGCCCCTTCGTATTAATCTTCGAAGCATAGGCAGCAATTTGTTCAACATTCGTGTAATTAATACCCCGTATTTTTTAAATGTATTTTCTAATTAATTAATTAGTATTCTCTTAAAAGGGTATTTTAGTAGCAGCAAAAAAGGGTATTTTATACTATTTGAATTTTGGAGCCAAAACGATATTTAAGTTTTAGCGCCAACAACATTTTTCAAATTTTATTTTTGGATTTAGGATAAGATTTATTATCCATTTATTTTATTTTAAAAACCAAATTATTTATACAAGCTAAGAGTCACACGTTACGCGTGTAGCGTATAAGAAATTAATTATTTAAATTTACTCATAATTTCATAATTTTGTCCCTTTAAGTTTTATAATAACTTGGTTTTTTTAAAAAAATCTCCATAAATTTTCACAATCACACACCATAACCAAAACTCAATAATTTTTTTTAAAAAAAAAATAAGAACCTTGGGGAGACATAGTGAGAGACAAAGGGCAGCAAAGAACTCCTCTTAATTAACCAAATGAACAATTATACTACTCTGTTTTATTATGAATTACACATTAATACTCAAAATCTTCAACAATTCATGCTCGCCGATTATTTACAAAATGTCATATTGCCACGGCGTATGGAAGTTATGAAGCCATGGATGGCAACAAAATCAGAATACCTTTAAACATAGAGACACTACAAAAAAAACAAAGCAAATTTTGACACTTTTTTTGTACATATATTGACATTAAAAAGCGTCGTAATATTCTATTTTGACGCTTTAAAAAGCGTCAAAATTTTTGAAGCCAAAATATTTTGACGCTTTTTGTGTCAATTTTTAAGTATTATATGTCGCTTTTGTGTGTCATTGCTAAATTAGTATGACACTTTTTTGTGTCATTACTAAAAAATTATGACACTATTTGAGTCATTACTATCAAATTATGACACTTTTGTGTGTCAAATTGGGGACTATATTTCCCACCATTATTAATGTCCAAAAACTTGTGACGCTTTTGTTAGTCATTGTTTAAAAAATTGTGACACTTTTGTGTGTCAAAATGATGTTATATTAATTCCAACAATTTAAATACCACCAATAACTTTGATTTATAAAAGCGCCACTATTTCCCCCTTTTTTTTTGGACGAAAATTGATAAAATTAAATTAATGAAGTACTTATATAAAACTTTAAACAAACAAAATAATAATAATAATAATAATAATAATAATAATAATAATAATAATAATAATATAAAATCATAATTGATGAAAATGTATTTACAAAAAGTAACATATATATATAGAAAAAAAACACACACACATATATATACATATATATATAAATCCGTTTACATAATAACGTTATACATCCAATTCAACTAAACAAGTGTAGTATTTGAATACAGAGATATATAGATATTTTCCTAAAAAAGATGTTCAAACTAATTACACACAACGCTATCAAAGCTACTAAATACCCACACATATATATAATAAGAGTGCTTGAAGCCAAATCACTCTCTTCATTTACTTTTTACCATTGCTGCCTACATCATCAACAACCTGCGAAGAAAATTTTATATGTGAACAATTATTGTAGTAGTAGTATTGCAAAATTAGAGAAGTTAAACAGAAAATATTTACCATAGAGGAACGTAAACCAAGCACATAATTGTCTAGTGGTACGCCTAGCTAACAAGAATTTTTGTAATAAATAGTCACTTTCTTGCACAACACAAGTAATTAACCCATTGCTAGTAAAGGCGGTATGTTCTCGGCTAATAACAAATGACATTCCTATTCAAATATTAGGGATAAAGATAACAAACTGCAAAAAGTCTGCTCATTATGGTCCAAGTATTACCTGCCCTTTTAATATGAGAAAACGACAAATCAGAAAAAGAACTAGCAAATTAGCAATAGATAAAATATCATCCAACAGCAAACTAAAGGGATCAAACCCCTGCATTCGCTACTTGAGACAACGTACAACAAGCTGGGCATCGCTTTCAATAATCACTCTGCTGTACCCCAACCTGCACGCCAAGAGCAGCCCATATCTGCAAGCAGCAGACTCGGCTAGAGAAAGAACCCACCCCGCATGCTCCCTTCAAACTGCAGCAGCCACCACATTACCACAATCGTCTCTAATCACGAACCCTAGCCTTGTAACTTGGCCAATGTGAGCATCACAATTAATTTTAACCCAACCAGCCCCTGGGCACTTCCACAAAGACACAGCAGGAGTGAGCATTGCAGGGGGCTTGAACACCCTACTAGCATACTCCCCATAATCAGAAACATACTTCATCATTCTCGCAGCAACCATAAGTAATTTTTTAATTATCTATAAATGGTGAATATTTTTTTACTGTATTCTTTATCAATCTAGCTATATAAAATGACTAACTTCCAAACATTTACCTAAAACGTACTAACTTGCCTCTAACTAACACCACTTCTCCCTAATCGAACCTAAAACCCCTAAAATAGCAATCCTGCAATGAACCCACAGCCACCACCAGTCAGCAGGGGACAAAAGCAGCAGCAGTAGGGGAAAGTAGCAGCAGGGGAAAGGGGAAAGTAGCAGCAGGGGAAAGGGGAAAGTAGCAGTAGGGGAAAGGGGAATGGGGAAGGCTGACAACACTTCTCCACCAAGGGCAGCAGTAAAGGTAAGCAAGGGAAAGGGGAAGGCTCACAACAGATTTCGTCGGAGAATGGTAAGCAACTTCATCATGATGCTCAAAATCATCCAATAGTTATGTCAAGTAAAAATGACCAAAGTTTTAGGAAGAAAGGGAGCATAAAGAAAATGGGATTATGGGAAGGTTTGATGTATATTTGGGTGGAGCTTTGGACAAGAAAGGTGGTTACTGCCAAGTTTCAAATTAGTGACATGAAGACTATCAAAAATGTCATCCCAAATGCTGTAAGACTCTTCTTACCTAATCTAAACATATGCATGCATGATTATAATGTATGTTGCATTCATGACATATATTATTGCATCAATATATTTTATGCATTATATATATATATACATTAATGAGGGAATTTAAAGACAAGTAAAGTTGATTTTAATGAATAATTTCAACAGCGTGTAATTCTAAGTAATTCCTCTTACATTATTCATGCATGCAATTTTAATCTTGCCACAGATAATGAAAGGAAATTTTAAAAAAAAAAAAGGAAGTGGATGAAAAAAGAAATGGTTTATTCCAAACCTGAGAATCAAGTAGTTGTATTGCATAATCTATAACTTCTGATGAAACATTTCCACTGCGTGTTGCCTTCAAAACCTGTGCCATCATAGAACCAACTGCATCAAATTCTGTTTTCAATATTTGATTTTGTTCAGCAAGATCCTCATTTTGCTTCTTCATATCTAACAGTGCAACCTTCAACTTCTCCACTTCCATATCACTATTGTTGACATAGTAAGACCCTTCTTTCCTTAAATGTCCTTCCACTCCAAAGATGTGGCTTTGCTTCACACCAAAGCCATAATTTAGAGGACGCTTAGGGATCTCGCCTTGATACATAAGTTGATTGAAAACTTCATTTTCAATATCAACCTTGGGAATGGAAGAAGAGGAGTTATCAAGGCTTTCTTGCACCTTCTTGATTGCTCCTCTTGTTACATGATAAGAAAACTATAACACTTGGCAAAGAGCTAATAAATTAGTGGTTAAACTAATTTTCATTGGTATATATACCACAAACTGACGAGATGTTGTGCCCTCTTTGAAGCTTCCATCTCCTTCGCTGTAAACACTTTTAAAAAACTCCAATTCACTGAAATCTCCTTTTTGTTTTTTCTGCAATGTGAGAAACATACAAATACCTGACATGTAACTTCTGTTATTTTAAGTCTTTTAATTGACGAAGTTACATTTTCTTCCAAATCTTGTAAGATAGTCAAACAGAAAAAAAAATGCAAATTTTAGGACTAAATAAAATGAAGGATAATTATACCAGAATAGCTCTGCGATTTGCAAAGCTTTTAGCACCACTCTTGCGCACGAGAACTTGCGACGCACGAGCAGCTTTTCCGAGTTCAGACATTTTCTATTTATTTAAAATCATGGTTAGCATGAGATAGAAATAAAGTTACATCACACTAAAACCACTATAATCAGAATATAACAGATCTTCTTGTGTGATTAGGTAGTGAGTTGGTCTGATGGAAGCTAGCCTCTGTTCTCACTAACACGTGTACTGTGTAAATATAATGGATTTGAGATCTCTAAACCTTATCGTGTGACTAACTATATCTGATGGGATGCAATGCTGACACAAGCAAACGACTGTTGGCAACAACAAGATAAGAGGGAATGAGAGAATATGTAGATTATTAGAGAGACAACAAAGGAAAAGGGCTGTAGCATCAGCGGCGAATACAGGAGGTCCATTACTGTTGTTTCAATTCATTGTGTATACTTTACTCTTTTCTCTCTCTGATTTGTTCCTTATAAAGCTATACGACTGTAAGTTTATAGATTTGCTGGTCATAGGTTATCGCTTATGAAGAATTAGAGAACATTGTGGGAGGAGTTGATCAGCATACACAACATAACCACCAAAATGTTACTCACACATCTAGGATTGTTCATTTATTATATCCTACTAAAATGTTACTAACAACTTGACAACATACAAAACGGTTATACAGAGCTAATCTATAAACAAAAAATTCCCTTAAAAATCAAAATGCAAACCTTGGCGTCCGATGAAAGCCAATAATCAACCAGAAAACTCCAATTTTGAGTTGTGATACCATCAGGTATACTAGCATAATTTTGCTCACGCGTTTTTTCTACAGGATCAAAATAATCCTTCTTTAATGCATATCTATGATTTTTCCATGTTTTGCCAATACGCTTCAAAATAGCATTCCTCATTTCCTTTCCTTCGGGTAACAGAAAATGTGCCTAAAAGTAAATGTACAAATAAAGTTACAAAAAGATTAATCTATATAGCATATATAACTTATAGCGTATCATACTACATGTGAGTTATTATTGTGGCATTCATAATTATATCATATGTCATATATCAGAGAACCATAGCATATGTCAGGCATGCAATAGATTATAAGTGTAGTAATGAAAGTAAGATTATATATTCATGGCGAACGATTAAAAGGCGTACCCGAACAAGGTTAACAATATTGCCTCTCATATTCGAGCTCAACTTATGCCAATTTAAAATTCCCACGGGACAAAATTCTTCTCGTTTAGCAATGTCTCCTAAGAAACTCGCAAGGATGGAGCCACCTTTGTGAAGAGGTTGGTTGAATTCATTAAATTGGACGAACTACCTAAATCCTGGTGCATCATTCCACACATCTCGAGGCTGAACAGAACCCTTCACAAGGTGTCGTGTTCCATCGACATCTTTGAAAACAATGAAATTAGGTAAGTGTTAAACAATTAAAAAAAACATCCAAAAAGGAAAAAAACAAAGCACATAATATTAAATATGCATTTACACTTACCAAATGCCACAACCTCTTCTTCCTCATCAAACTTGACATGCTCTGGTCAATTTTTCACAATACTTCGGCGCCTAAATTTTGTTCTTTTCACACCACTGTCCACTCCACCTGACTCAGTCAACTCTTCTTCACTCTCTGACTGAGATTCAAGTTTGTCAGAGTCAAAATTTAACCTTTTGTTGCTTTCAGCATGAATATATGCATGAGACTTCTCCTTTTGGAGTCCCACTGAACAGGTTGTATTTATTTGAGGTTGTGTCAAGGGTTCACCTCCAAAATTAGAAGACGTCATAGGATGCATCTTTTGAGTTTGTTGCATAGCTTCCAAGGGTGAAACAACTCTTCTTTCTAATTGGGATTTAGCTCCAGTCAAAGGAGAGACAATAGGTTGTTGTGTAGCTCCCACCAGCCGTGCACCTGTTTTAGCTCTAGGAAAAGGTTGTTTACTCGGATGTTCTATAGCTTTTTGAGGCTACTTTGATGCTTTAGTTGGCTGAGTTGTTTCTTTATGAGGGACTTGTGTTGTTTCTTGTGACAGTAGTGCACCAGATTTAGCTCTAGTAAAAGGTGGAATAGTCGGATGCTCTGTAGCCTTATGCTGCTTTGATGCTTTAGTAGGTTGAGTTGTTCCTTTGTGAGGCTGTAGTGTTTCTTTATGAGGGAGTTTTGATGTTTGTGGTGTTACAGATTATAACATAGGATACGATCTAGGTTGTGATGGGGTTAAAGGAGGTCTTGATGACATCTTATGTTTGGAGTTTGATGGCATTATAGTTGGCATACCTGCTTTTGATGCAGCAGCTACAGATGAAGATGATGTAGATGTGGGTTTTGATGCATTAATAGAAGATTTGATTGGTTGCGATATGTGCCCAAACGTTTGTGATCTTCCAAGTATCGGAGGGCTAAATGGTCCCCATTGGGTGGATGGGTTAGAAGACTCTGAAAAGTTGGATTGTGACACTGCAATATGGCTGGACTTAGATTGTAAGGATGTTGAAGTGGGTTGCTTATTTGAAGAAAATTGAGCCTCGCCAAGAGTTAAAGCAGTTCTTTTACTTCTGTAACTCATTATGAGACACCTATTAACAGAAACAAATACAACTAGTCAGAAGTTATGTTTGCAGCATAGGATATCAAACAGATTATAGTTGTTTAGATGTGCCTCATTTCCTTGTCAGAAAAGCTCAGACCTTAGTAGATGCAGCAAGATGAAAAAATTTAATGTGTGACCACTCTGTGGCAATAGAACAAAAAATATCTAAAACATCTGCATTTGCTACCAGATAAGATGAACACAGAAAAAACATGAACCTAAAAACACCTGCTACTTCATAAGATAAACATGGACGAAATGCAGGATCAGTCAGAATAGAAATACTCCGCATAATTAGATCAAACTCTTATTATTAGGTCCTTGAGTTGATGTGCAAGAAACAAAATACAAGATGAGTTTCCACAACTAACCTAGCTTTACCATATGGACATCAGAAAAGGTGAAAGTAAACTGTTTTGCTGCGGAAACTACAGGTTACATTATGTACAAATGCCAGTATACTTGGTTGCCTTCCAGAATAAATACTCTCTGATTTTCAAGTTCCCATGATCAAACCTTGCACGAGCAAAAGCTTGTTTCGAACAGTTTATTAGCAAGAGAATACAATTACACATGCATGCAATCAACTGAGGGAAACATGCCTTATAAGAAATCAAAATCTACCCTCTAATTATAATCAACCTAGTGCAAAATTAAAGTTTTTTAGACCAAATTCCTGTATTAGAACTGAAACTGTAGCTGTTAGTGTCATAGTGATTTTTTATTCTTGATTCTATTTATTTATTTATCAAAGCGCAGTTGATTATCCTTCACAAGTTCCTGCTGATATATCCAAATAAAGAGTGGAAACAATAACATGTCATGATGTCAATTTACAATGTGTGATAGAAGACACGGGGATAATATGATTAAGGGCAGATGTTTGGATATTTTAGCGAAAATAAAGCATCAAGCCAAGTAATATTCATATGGAGCCCCAGTACATAAATTTAAAGACATTATTTTCACAAACAACATAATTAGTTGCATAGTGATACAAAATACAAATAGATCAGACAGCAGAAATTATCAACCCAACACATTATAATCAAAATTTCGAGATCAAAGCCGATATCAGCACCAATGCTAAAATTAAATTATTTAAAGTTTGAAAAACCTGTTATCATGATTGTGGGGATACCAAATCGTTTTTTGATCTACATTGAAAATATAGATACTACTTACTGCTTACCATTAAACAACTGCAACAGGCAAAGTAAACTGGTCATAAATGTAGATCATTACTCCTCATCCTCAGATAATGATGGCTTTCCTAAGTTGCTTGGGTCAAATACATGTACCTCTACCTTCACAGGAGTATTATGATCTGGGACTGACCTTGTCACCAAAACGCAAGTAGACATTGTTAATAATGATATCATCTGACCGGAAAAAAGGGCTAGGACTATAAATGCATATATTCAACTTTTTTTGTACTTCACGTAAAAAAATTCTAAAATCATTCATTTTATCCCCCCCCCCCGTAAGATATGCCTCCTTTACTGATGCATACTATCGTTGTTGTCTAATGGTGAAAAAAGGTTATGTGAAACAGCTTGAGTCGATTATCATTTTGCAATCAATCAGTTGAATCATTTTACAAAATGCTGCAAGGTACATAATATGTACAATAAGAATCATGAGTACTTCTGACTCAAAATATTCAGCAACTTGAAAAGGCTACAGGCAAAAGGCAGCAAGGACTGGACTCCCCAGCAACTATATGAAATGAGAGATCAAATAAGGATTATAAGAGCAGACTAGAACCATATTAACTGGCAATTAAATGTTAATTGTTTTATATACTCCATATATGCAGTCTATTGTACAAAACAAAACAAAACAAAACAAAAATCACTTAAATAATTATTACGGGAGTACATCGAAGCAACCATATAACCTATGATATAAGCCTTATGTTCAAAAGCAAAAAGACAAAACATTCTATATTTCCAAATGACATCTAGTTAGTAATATCTAAGAAAAACCACTATAACTGTTAGATGGTATGAGAAAATCGATTGTAATTCACAAATAGAATTAACAAAAAGTAAAGGGATAAATTCAGCAAAAGGAAATATTGATTAATGGCAAATATAAACTCATAATTAAATTCAGTAATTACAAATCCAAATTAAATAATAAAATAGGAAACTAATCATTCATTTTCGTTATCTACTTCGGGTAACTCATCCCCTAAATCAAACAAGTCTCTAGGCTTAGTCTTTACAACATGATACCATCCTTTTCGTATCTCATCTTCAATGTAGAAAACCTATTTTGCTTGAGATGAGAAAATAAAAGGATCATCTTGCAAATTTCTTCCTGAATGCATCAACTTTGAGAAATTAACACATATAGAGCCATTTTGATCTGATTTAACACCCCTATGTATATCTACCCAAACACAATGAAACAATACAGCTTTGTAAGTCCCATAATAGTCCAATTCATATATATCCTTCACTTTCCCATAGTATGCTTCTCCATCTGCTTCTACCATGATTCCAGAATTTTGGGTAGTCAAACGGCTATCACGGTCCATGATCTGAAATTTATACCCATTGATCATAAAGCCCTTCATTTTTTTACCATAACAATTCAATCCCCCTGCCAGAATTTTTCTATCCCATCTTCGGTGGTTTCATCTATTGAGTGTACCTATCATGGTAGAATATAAAGTCTAAAACAGTGTGCTATTTTTGTAAGAAAATTGAACACATTAGGATACATATATATCACCTGACTTCGCAACCACTCTCCGAACTCGTTGATGATCCAATCACTTTCATCACTTTCAGTGATTGGGTTATGTGTATTCATTTGTCGCTTTAGATTTAAAAATTCTCTTCAAAGAAAGGAAAAAGAAATTATCATGATATATTATAATAATTGGTAATTCATAAAATAGAATATACTTGCTACTTACTCGGGAAGATCTTGAATTTCATCAGAATAATGCAGTAAAACATAGCGATGAGCTTGTTTTAAGCTTTTGTCATCTAGTCAAAAATTGACCTCTTTCCCAATTACTCGACCGCCAGAATTACACAAGTATTTTCCAGAATTGGGACTATCATCATCAATTCGTTTAGGTTTGTTATAGACAGTCTTAACACCTTCAAGATATCTTGAACAAAACCTAATGGTCTCCTCTAAAAGGTAGCCTTTTTCAATTGACCCTTCAGGTTGGGCTTTATTAACTACATGTGACTTTAGATGGGCCAAGTACCTTTTCAAAAAGTCAAATTATAATTAAAATACAGTACACTTATATATTTTCTAAATGAATTTAGATTAGACATATATGTAAATAAATCTAACCTCTCAATGGGATACATCCATCTGTATTGTACTGGTCCACCGAGTTTAACCTCCTCCACTAAGTGAATTAGAAAATGAACCATGATTGTGAAAAACGAAGGCAAAAACTCCATTTCCAACTCACAAAGGGTTAATACAATTCCTTCTTGAAGAGCATCTAGATCATCAGGATCAATAGCAGTGGAGCATAATTGCTTGAAAAAGTAAGACAATTTTGCAAGCAAATCAATTACTTTTGTTGCATTAGAAGCTCTTAATGCGACGGGAAGGATATCTTGCATAAACACATGGTTGTCATGGCTCTGAAGGTTAATTCTTTGCTTCATGTTCACGCATCTAGAATGGTTAGATCCATAGCCATTAGGGACTCTGAGTTTTTGTAAAAATTTTAAGAACCTCTCTTTCTCTTCTACAGACATAGAATAAGAAGTTGAAGGCATATGATTATCTTGACCCCAAAGATGTGGCTTTATGCCCCATCCTTGAAGGGCATCTCGATCATCCTTCTTATCTCTGCTTTTATCGGTATTTAAGAGAGTATTTAAAGTATTGTCACACACATTTTTTTTCTATGTGCATTACATCTACATTATGCCTCAACAAATTATGCTCCCAATACTCCAAATCATAAAATATGCTTCTCTTGGTACCAATGACAATATCTTCTTCATTGTTACCCTCATTACCTCTCTTTCTTTTTTATGCCTTCCCATAAACATACCTAACCTTTTCTTGTAGCCCCAATATGTCAGTCCCACTAGGCCGAGGTGGAGCTTCACCATGCTCTTCTCTTCCGTTAAAACTGTCGCTCTCAAATCGATATGGATGACATGATGGAAGCCACTTTCGATACCCACAATAACAAGTCTTACTCCCTAATTTTTCAGAAGGAGTCGAATGAATCAATGCATATAGGGCATGCCATATAGCCTTTGGTGCTCAGACCGGAGAGCATTGCATAACCAGGAAAGTCATTAATAGTCCAAAGCAAAGCGGATCGTAATTTAAATTTCTCTCCATCATAAGCATCAAAAGCAACCCCACTCCATAACAATTTCAATTCATGGACTAGTGGCTGCAAATACACATTGATGTCAATTCAGGGACTTTTTTTACCGGGAATGATAATAGACAACATGAATGAAGATGGTTTCATACATAACCACGGTGGAAGATTATAGGGAATCAACAGCACAGGCCATGTACTATAAGTCGTGTTCATCAAACGATATGGATTAAACCCATCACTTGCAAGTCCTAATAGAACACTACGAGGATCTGAGGCAAAATCCTCATAACGTTGATCAATTGATTTGCAAGCTAATGCATCTGAAGGGTGCCTTAACATATTCTTATCAACATCATTCAATTTATCATTATGAGTATAATGCCATCACATATCTTCTGCTGTTTTTTAGGACATGTAAATTCTCTTCAGTCTAGGGATAAGAGGAAAGTAACGCATTACCTTAGCATGCTCACCACTCCTAGAAATGTTCTTATCTTGATCTCTGACATTATCATTTGTACCCTTATTTTTCTTCCATCTTGATGTACCACAAACATGACACTTGTCTTCCTTTGAAAAATCACCCCAATATAACATACAGTTATTTGGACAAGCATCAATCTTCTCATACCCAAGGCCAAGGTCTTTTATTATTCTCTTACTTTGATAATAAGACAAGGGGAACTCCAGAATTTGGGGAAATGCGTCTATGAGAAGCTCGAGTAGCATATTAAAAGATTCAGCAGACCAATGGCTCATACATTTTATGTGAAAAAGGTGTAAAAGAAAAGACATTTTGGAAAATTTAGTACACCCGTCATACAATTTCTCATCAGAAACATCAAGTAATTTCTTATACTTAGCTTCATCTTCCGTTGTTGAAAATTCTAAATCAATCTCCTCTTCATAGAAGACAGGTTTGGTCATTTTCATTATTTTCATGTGGTTCAAAGGTTTGGTCATTTGAGGGTTTTTCAAAACTAAAAGTAGATCTCAATAGGCCTCCCATATCATCTCGACCTTCAAACCTTGTTTGATCTAGAGGGGATCCTTGGCTAGTACTCCCTTCATCACACCCAATCATACGCTGAAGCAAATCCCCTTGACCATGAAAAATCCATTTCTTGTATGATTTATAAAACCCATTAAACAAGATATGTCTTTCTACTTCATTTACACAAAGCCATTTATCCACTTTACATGTCTTACATGGACACCGAATCTTTCCTTCTACCTGAGCTACCTTAGCAAAGTTAATGAATTGCATACAACCTTTGACATATTGAGTGTGGCATCGTGGAAGTTCTATCCAACTTGTATCCATATCTATACATAATTAATACTTTAATAAGGGAACTATAATTTTGACCAAAAAAATAGAAAATTTTAAAACATACTTATCAGAATAAATATTAATTTTTTCACAAACTAAAATACACAACAAATCAGATTGTGGTAGCATACTTTTAGTTCATATATTTTGATCATAAAACTGAGGAAAGGTCAATCATTATAGCCATGTAACGGGAATAAAAGTTATAGGTATAGGATTTACTATATAAAATATAATCTATCGATGTAATTTTCATTGAAAACTATTTAAAACTCACTATATGACAATAAAAAAATAAAAATAAAAAAAATCACCCACAAATATACAATTAAACCAACAAAAGCAAGGATGATGAACTATTGGAGATACCAAATAGTTATAAATCACTAAGTTGCTTTGTCAAAGTCATTACAAACCATACAAACAAAATTACAACATGCTTACTAAATAATTACAATCTTAAAGCTTGATCTTAAACTAAACTGTCATAACTTGAACTAGTAGCATATAAGATGTGAGTAATACCTTGGTATAGCTGTCATCAAGAGTCCGCTAAACTAAGCAAGTAGTGACCAAAAGAATCCAAAAGGATGAATGCTGGAAAAAAAAATACAGGCGACATACATACATTAGATGATATATTACATAATATAACGAATTATGTTCGAATGACAAAAAAAAAAAAAACAAAAAAACAAAAAACAAAATAGAGGGGAAAAGAATACTCAAAAGACACTTCAATTCAAAACAGTGATAACAAAAACAAATATGGAAATTCAATACTCAAATGCAAAGTTTACATGGGAGATAACAATAGAAAAATACACATTAGTAGTGGAATCAAATTGGGAGATTTTGAAGTTGTTAGAAAAATACTCATTGAATGAATTTACTAGGCATTTGATATATTTGAAAAACATGAGATGCTGGTTCAGGTGGCTTTTGTGTGGGCTGCGTAGGCTTTTCGCAATTCAGTGGTGTTTGGTGAGACTTTGAGTAATGAAGTAGTAGGAGCTATGGGTTTTGTGAAACTTGTTCTCGATTTTAAAAAATATAATTCGAGAGTTTGCTCTGTTCCTGGCTTCCGGCTACCAGAGCTATGATTTTTAGAAGTTATTGGCTTCCTCATGCTCCTGGTATTATAAAAAAATCAATATTGACGCTGCAATGTTGGAGGAGAATGGCGTGGGGTAAGGGGCGGTTTCTAGGGATGCTGCAGGTTGTGTTCTTACAGTAGTGGTGCGTAGGGAAGTCTGCAGAAGTTCAGTTGAGGTTGCTGAAGCTCTCGCTCCTAGATTGGGGTTACAGGTTGCCTTAAGTCTTGGTTATCAAAAGGTGGAAGTAGAATGTGATGCTACTAATTTATCAGGTGCAATTAATTTGAAGTGCTTTGGGAGGTCTGTTTTTGATCTACTGGTGGAAGATATATGTAGCTTGGGGGACAATCTTGATAGTTTTTCTTGCCATCGTGTGAAAAGGAAGGGTAATACAGTAGCACACTTATTTGATAGACTTATTCCTTCAAATGGGGTGGAGCAATTGTTTGTAAATTCCTTTCCGCAAGGGGTCCTGTCCTTGGCAGAGCTTGGTGTAATCTGATTTGTGGTTAATATATATTATGCTCCCTTTCCCGTCTAAAAAAAAGTTGTAGGGAAAACAAATACTTATCATGCCAGAAATTTTAATAAAACAAAGAGATAGAAGACATCTCAAGGTCCATCCTCAACTACATCTTGCTCAAGCAGCTTATCCCCCCTCTCTATTTTTATTATTATCCCATTTAGCTGAAGAAGGTAATAAACCATCACCTGTTATGAATCATCAAATTAATATTCATTAACTATGGATCTAGAAATAGCTTAAGCTCAAAACTCACAGCCAACTATAGACAATTAGAGATACAAAACAGAAATTTTCATCCAGAACGATATTATATTTAGGCAATGCTTATGTATATTACCTCCAATTCTTGCAGCTGTTTCTCCTGCTTTTTAGCTTTTGATTTTCCACTTCTTTGCACTTCAAATACCACAGCTTCTCCTCTGATGTCCTGTGCGTTAATGAGGTCAACAAATCTGCTGGTTAATTGTAGTTGTGCATTTTGTTTCAATTTAAAAAAGAATATCAAGTTTGAATGCAATGTATATGTAAACATTTAATTAAACGACTGATTGAACACAAGTCATAACATAGGGAATGCAACAAAACAACATTTCATAAAGTCCTTTCTCCGTCTTACATGAGATTTTACTACGACATTCCTTCCTACCAAAACTCAGGCATAATGCTCTTAGTAAAAGAACCAATAACTCAAGTGAGTACAAGCCTACAAGGTCAGGCCTTCAGAATACACTAACACCTAATGCAAACAGTTAAGAATCATCAAAACCAAAAAAAGGAGCAAAGCAAAATATGAAAAGTCTAGTGATTTTTCAGTACCTCAAGTATCCAAACTTAAACACCATTAAAACTGAGGACAAAAATTATCTTACCATGAAACTCAAACTACCTTAAGAAGCACTAATTACATATTTTGTTAGTAATAACTTGAGGCGGTGTGTTTTTCTACACGAATTTCCGTAACCACCCAACACCACTTCTAAATTGGTCATGAATGATGACACAAATTTATGATGACGATTATATACATGGGGTCTTGAGGGATGGACAAGCATTACCATGGACATTGATATGAGCCTTTCCTTACAAAAATACATAAAAATTTATTCTTAATACGGCCTATTAAACGGATCACGAGAAAACTAGACAGAGAGTTCACACTAACACTATATAAATTCTCAAATAGTCCACAGGCTCAAACAGCATTACATTCACAAAGCTAAATTGCAATTGGCAGTCAACAGAATACTATGACACTACCAATCAAGACAAACACACACCATAACATAGGAGAGAACTTCCAATTCTTTACCAATAAAAAAGTGAGAATATAATTCGAGTAACAATCATAGGGTTTAACAATTAGGTTTAGAATCATGTATTTCTTTGTTGTATAAAATGTATACAAGCCTTTCAGACTATATTAGTCTTAGCTTCCATAGAATAAGCATAGTTAGGTAATTTGTTTATTTGTTAAAAGGCCCTTAAGCTTTAAAGCTTCCAAGGCCAACAAAATATTTAGGCATGTAATATTTCCACCAAGTTGAATATCAAAGCTTCAGCATTTACACTTCTATATCAACAGCTAGAAAAGTCCTTACTCTAATTTTCAAAACAGAATAAATTTCAGTCAAGAGAGGAAAAATGCTAAGAAAAGGGGGGAAATAGAGTGATAATCTGTTAAAAAACAACCTTGTTCTGATCCTTGGATAAGTAAGAAATAATAATACTTGGTTATTTCCAATCAAACAAAACAATGAGAATTGTGGCAAACAGTATTCAGAACAAGAATAAAGCGAAGTTTTCTATATCGACTTTAAACACAATATCAGCCATTAGCAGAGAAATGAAAGGTTGTATCCTGTAAGTGTGAATTTCTTTACCAATAAAAAAGTTAGAATATAATTAACCAATTCAATCACTCAATTAATTCGTTAATTCAACCAATTGTTCAACTATAATTGGAGATTATAATTATCATGCATACAGCTATCAATATACATAATAATTAAAGAAAAAAATTGAGGAAAAAAAAAAACTTACGAGATCTTTGGGTTGAATCTTGATAATTTTTCTCCAACAAACACTAGCAACGATGAATCCAAAGTCACAATACAAATTAACCCCAAAACTCAATTAAGATAACGTTTTTGGCAAATTATGAAGAGTATTAATTCAATCTGAAATTCACATCATACGCTTCAAATATACAGAAAAAAAAAAAAAGAGGTAAGTAAGAAATGGACTGAGATGATTATATGCTAACCGAAATCAAGGAATTAGGGACTTTTTTTGTGAAGATTCAAAGTTTTTAGGCGAAATTCAGAGCAGCGAGTAAGGTCGGTGGTTATGTTGGAGCTGATAGTGAGGACGACGTGGGTACAGTATCCCACTATCCCGGGATATTAGAATTTTAATTTTGGGTGAAATTTTAATTTCAGCGGGTTATGTAATTGATAGTTGGGTGACACGTTTCACTCTATTCACTATAATGACGCTTTTGAGGGTCACAATGTATTTTGGCTCTTAAAAACATCAAAATATATAAATTATATATTCGTGAATGGAGGAAAATTATGACCCATTACAAAAGCGTCAAGGCTAAAGCGTCAAAATTTACTCTATTTTCTTATAGTGAGAATTTAAACAGAGAAAGAAGATGAAGTGGTAAATGAACTGAAACTATAAAAGTAGTTTAGAATATATATCCAACACAAAATATAATAGTGACAGTATATTTTCAAATGTATTTCAAGTAATTAATAATGATAAAAAAAAAAGTAATAATGATAAAATTTATTCAATTACTATTCTATCACAAAATAATTTAATTAAAAACAAAAGTAAAGTACCTTAATAAGCGATGAGCATGCGACATTGACAGTGAAAATTGTATTCTTGTATTTGTATTATACAAATTCTTAAATGGACTTGGTTCACACTAATTTATTGTGGACCGCTAACATTAGAGAAAGTATGGTTGTTTTATTAATAAAAAAAAGGGTCACTATAATTAAAAAAAAGGTCACTATATTGAAATAAAAATTTATTTTGGTAATATATATGCCTAAGTGGTTATTTTTGTAATGAAATATTTTATATACTGATCAATATGAATAATAAAGGCCACTATGTTAAAATTAGGGTAATAGCGTCATATTTCAAGTTCACAATATTATTAAACGTTGTACTAGTTTTAATAAAGGTTACTAGGTTAAAAATAAGGTTACTATGTTAAAAATAATGGTCACTATGTTCAATATAATGTCAGTTGCGTGTGTATAGACCTCGGGTCTACAATAATATTATTGTGGACCAGGTCCACGCAAGTCTTTTTGTTTGTATTACATCCTTCATTTGAAGGGTTACTGGTAGAGGAGTTGTGGTAATTAGAGCACTTTTTGATTGACATAAAAAGTGAGCAGTTAGGGAAAAAACAAATTAAATTTCGGGGGAGAGCAGTTGTGGTAATTTTAAAGGCATAGAGCTTTTTTTTTCAAGAATGGTAATTGGAGCAGTTGTGGACTTGTGATAATTGATACTCTGTAAGTGAGAAATATCAATAAGATTATGTAGAAGTTTTCTGTAAAAAACTAAAAAATAAAAATAAAAATAATAAAATAATAATAGATTTAATTATGCAATTTAAGAGGGGTAATTTTGGAAAGTGAAATTTATCACCTGAAACCTCTTTCTCTTTATATATTACTACATGTAAAATAAATTAATGAGTTTAAAAAATGTTGTTAAAAAAATATAGCTATTAAAAAACTATGTGTAATTAAAAAAATATATGTCTATGAGTTCATGAGACTAAATAATAGAGTATGAATTATCAAAAAAAAAGGATGGTAGTTTTTTTAAAAAGGTGGTAGTTTTTTTAAATTAAAAGATAAAAGAAAAAGAATATGAGAAAGGTATTTTAGGAAAGTGAAATTTATCACCCAAAACCCCTTCTCACTTTATATATTACTATAGATATATTTTGGATATTTTAATTAGACAAAATTATATTATATTATTTAATTAAAAGAGCCTAATTTCCTAAATAATTAACTAGGAATTTTCGAATTTTCTTGATAAAGAAAATCTGATTTTCTTAGTGTAATTAAATAGTGAATAATTGGTATTTTCCTAATTAATTATTTTATACAAAATATATTATTTACACAGTTATTTTAAGCCTAAAATCTAGCAAAACAATTTCCTAAACACTACTAATATGGTCCGAAAATTTGGAGCTATGAAAGCTCAAAATTTTCAGCCACTTTGGTTGAATTTTGGGTGATTTATTTTGATAAATTTTATTTTTAATTATCTCCTTAAAATCTCTTACTATTTTCCTTAATTTCTATTTTCCATCTCACAAAAATTTGATCATCTTATTCCCTACCTTATTTCATCCTTGATTATTCCCCAAGTAAACCTCTTTTGCCATATTATTTTCATGACAACACTCTTTCCTTAAAATAATTATTCTTAGTCAACTTAATATTAAACTTTCCATAATTCTTTAGCTCTCTTCTCCATGTAATTTCCTAAATTCTTTTTACCACAATTCTTCCTACATTCTCCTACCATAATTCTTTCATCCATGAGCCTATAAATACCCCCTATTACCTCTCATATTCTTCACACCAAAACTCAATTCTCTTCTTCTCTCTTCTTCTTCTTCTTCTTCTTTTTCCTAAACCTAATACCTCTCATATTCTTCACACTTTCCTTCTCTTATTTTTACACAAATCAGCCCGTATACCTATGAAGCCACTTTTTGGGCACATATGGTCAGCTTTTGGGGCATTATTGTTCCATGGAAGATTGTTCCTCTGAATTGAGAGTTATATTGAAGGAGTTGTGGCCTCTGCAATTTCTGCCTATTCTTTCCAACGAAAACTCAATTCTCTTTAATCCTATTCCTTTTTCGTCTTCATGGTTAGTTTTCTAAAATACAAATACCTATTTTAAAGCTATAATTTTATTATAAAGTATTATTTTAAAAGAGTTTTATAGTCCATGCACATTAGATTTGAGTTTTATGTTGTGATAACCTTATGGTTATGTTATTTGCAAGGTATATTCGTGATTGAACTTTGAAAGTGTGAAGTTTGATTGATATTTTGTTGAGTAATTAGATTTTGATGATTTTAAACTAATTATTATTATCTATCTAACGTGGTTGTTAAGTTAAAACATGATACAAGGAACCTGAACAATGTCAAGTATATATATATAAGGAAGTTGAGCAATATAGGATAAGAAATAGAGGACCAAATACAATGATAAGTGTTATGGTTGATAAGCATGATGATGGCTAAGGAACCATGAAGGTAACTATGTAAATATGTGTTTGCATATGTTAGCTTCATGAGGTAAGTACTCTATGCATACATGATTTGTATATGTGTAGAGGTATTTACATAGCTTTAAGTTTAATTGGTTCTCTCACTTGAAGTTTGTTTATGACAAACAAACTTCAATCTAATGTTTCTCTTAAGTGTTTATGTGAAGATAGGAACTGACTTAGATGAAGTCAATGGGTTGGAACATAGAAGACTTCAGGAAGAACAAGAGAGAATGAATGAACCTAAAGCAGGTTCTCCACGATAACCAAACCACGAAGGAAACTGAAGATATTCTCCAACGAGATGTAGAAGGAACCTTTGGTAGGCTTTCCCACGAGAGCCAGAGTATGTTCCCTAACAGGTACATGAAGTGTTCCCTAATAGGTACACACAAGGAGCTTCCTAACAGAAGCATGACAGCAAGCTAAAGACTGAAGCTTGGACTGCGAAGATGACATCAAGCTAAAGAGTGAAGCTTGGATTGTGAAGATGACAGCAAGTTCTAGAGGAACTTGGTCTACGGTTCCAGAAGTGGAACGTTGCCCCAAGATCTAGAATACATCAAGACTACAAGATTCCAGAACAAGAGTTTCAGAGAAACAACATGAAGACAGAGAAATTGAAGTTTATCACTCTAGGATTCATGTAAGTATGTTGAACATAAAAGTCAGTCTGGAACAAGTCTACAAAAACAAGGTGAACTCCTGATAGTCAATGAAGTTAGAGTTATCGACTAGTCAGGAACTCGGAGAATGTTAGAGTTTCGGAACCTAATCGGAACTTAAGTCTGCACGTCGTTAAAGATAGGTTTTACAGATAAATGCATATATTTTAGGGATTTTATTTTACAGAATAAAGATATTTATTTTCTAATAAATCCCTTTTGGAAAAAGATAAGTTATTTTTGGAAAGTATTTTCAGCAAAATAAGTTTTGAATCTAATTTTATGGTAAGTATATCTTTTGTAAAAAGACATGTTAATATATTTGGAAAAAGATTGAAATAAAATCTGATTTTGTGGTAAATATATCTTAGTACTTTTTACATAATATATTCTTAACAAAAGATATATTTTTGGAAAACTTAATTTTTGAAAATATCTTTTATTCATATCTTTTGATAAAACTTATCTTTTACGAAAAGAATGATTTGAGTGTACTATAAATATGCTCATATGTATTCATTCAAAGTCGAGGCTGACAAAGTGGATTGGTCGTGCTTAATGGTTTCATCCTTCACCACGAAGCTAAGTCAAACCTCCAGGTCAAAGTTCCAGTTAGATTTTGGTTTCAGTTCGTCCAGTAAGTTCCAGACAGATCTTGAGTGTCCAGCATATAAGTTTTATCTCTTTATTCATTGATATATATTTAGAGGTATTCTTTGAGATCTTGTAAAGGGAAAAGGAATTTGAGTGGTATTGGGGTGTGAGAGTTCGTGAGGATTCTCGTTATTATTATTTTATTGTAAGAGTGCAATGTGTTAGCTTCTAGGGTGAAGCCGATTGAGCTTCTAGTGAGAGGCGAGTGAATAGCACTCTGGGAGTACGGTGTGGAATCTAAGTTCGGGACTTAGGTTGGGTAGGATAGGGTCCTATCAAGTAGCAAGTTCAGTCAGGATGTGAGAAAAGTCTTATTGTAATAGGTTGTAACTAGGAGTGTTTGGCCATTATAGTGGATTGGTTTAGTCTGAAATCCCTTGGAGGGTCGAGGTTTTACTTCTAATTAGGCCCTAGATGGTTTCCTCGTAAAATCCGCTTTGCATTGTCTAAGTTACTAATGGAAATCAGTTTTATATTCTGCGAAAAGTAGGCACTAGGAACATACTACAATTCACACCCCCCTCTTGTAGTATATCATCCGAAATAACATATTCGGAATCAAGGTTTTTGAATTTTTGAGGTTCTTTTTGTGTGGTTTTGCTAGCAAGGATCAAGGTACGTTTAGGTGGCTAGATACCTTTGAAAGTGATTGGTTTGAATAACATGTTTTGAATGATTTTATGATGGTTAAATTAAATTAATTTGAATTATGAAATAATTTGTATTTGGAGGTATTGATTTTTAATATTTGTTTTAATAAAAGTATTTT